TTCAAAAGGAGATATTTTATTTAACAGAAATCACTTTTCAAAAACTACAACGAACCACTCGTTTGGACTACAACGCATATTTTCCGGGATTTGTGATATCACAAATATCGACGAATGGGACGAGACCTGCTTGAGCTGCACTAGAGAAGGCAACGAGTGTTATCACTATGTCGGAGACACGCTAGCTTTCCCAAGGCAGAAGAACTTAGAGTGGTTACAATCATCCGGGTTTAAATTGCGCTCAAATTTATTTGATTTTGACACAATATTTACACTGAAGCTCGCAGGCGGCTATGGTAAGGGGTATGTATGACATTTCCCGACCAGGCGCCGAGTGCTGCCAATCACAACACACGCTGGCCCAGCTAACCAATCACAGCACTGGGCGCCATTTTTTCTCCATCTCATCCTTATGATCTCCTGCCCACGGAACATTTACTGCGTCTGCTTCATGTCACACTTTAACTTATACCTGATACTAATCATGTGTAACTCTGTGATTGACCCACTGATCTATGCGCTCAGGAGCCAAGAGATGAGAAAGACATTTAAAGAGATCTTCTGCTATGATGGACTACGCAGTCTCTGGAACCTGGTCAGCAAATATTGAACAGGATTCCTGAAAGAACCTGAAGGGATGGACTGATGGATGAATGGTGTGTATAGATAGATGGATTGGTGCATAATTGCAGTGGAGGAGGTAAAAAGCCTAAACCTCTTAATTGGGGACAGTATATAAAATTTGTTCACGCTTTTCCATGTACTTCATCATGTGAAATGTTTTGATGTTGCAGTGGATGTTTCATGTTGTGTTGTTGTAAAATACTGAAGTGTTCATAATGTGACATTTTGTTACTGTATTTATTATAAGAATTACATCTTCCTTAGCAGGGGTCATTTGTCAGGTCAAAGCATTTTGTGCACAAAAACAGCTTTAATATTAATATGTATAGAGTAGAAATGTGCTCGTTTTCAGATTCTTTCTTTTTTTATGAAAGGAAAACACAGAGGGCAGAAACTCAACCATAAGCAGACATATAACAAAATAATAATATAATAATAATAATAATGCAAACATAATACATGTATGCAGTATAGAAACAGTATAGAATCATACAGACTGTTGTGAATAATATTGTAGTACATCTGGGAAACCATAAAAGTCTTACAATATATGTACCTCAATACTGTACATCAGTATGCATGTACAAAATATTTGTGTAATTTAACTGTAATGAAATTATACATTTCTTTGTCATGTAAGCAGACAATTATTGTTTTGCGTCATTGTTAAAAGTCATGCACAAAAATATAGTAAAGACATTTAATTACTTTTGTATTTTTTCATAATAAAAATAAATTGTCTTGAATTTAGAAAAGCATGAAAATTCAATTTAGAATTGTGTGTTATGCAAATATACGGTGTATGTAATATATGCATGTAAATGGTTGACATGTTTTTTCTAGTCTTCTGATTTTTAATTTTTAGTGCAATTAAAAACCTTCTTCATACAATTGCACTTGATTATTATGATTTCTATACTATCTGATAAATTGCAGGCTATTTAATAAGCTACTGTGTTAATGGACAAGTACATAATTTCCTGCATTTAAAGGGGTGGTTCACTGTTTTTTTTTCTAGGCCTGATTGTGTTTATGGGGTGCAGTCTAACATGTGTTAATGCTTAGTTTAAAAAAAAACGCATTATTTTTCACACAATTTACCTTTATTCCACACCGCTCTGTCCCTTCTCTGAGAAACGAGCTGATCATTTCCTGCTTTTATGAAGCCCCGCCCTCAGAAATAGGCGATGGGCTCTGATTGGTTAGCTAGCCCAGTGTGTTGTGATTGGCTAAACCGCCTCTAGTGCGCGTCTAAATGTCCCGCCCCTCACCTCAGCGGCATGTGCTCCGGTTGTATTGTAAACAATGGCGTCGTTAATATCACTTATCAGTTTGAGCCCGATTGAGAAGCAGAGGATATTATTGAAGAGGATCGTGCAGAACCTGTACAAGCAGCTTTTAATGGTAGGCCTATGTTTTTTGTTTGTTGTTGTCTCATACTTTTAGATACACTGTTATTTGTAAATGCTATTGCTTATGTTAGCTTTTAATATAAGGTTTTATCCTGATTAAAGCTTTAATACAGTAAGGCAACTGCATGCGTGTCCATGTTTAACGCTTCTCATCAGGGGCGGTTCTAGACCACAGTAACTGGGGGGGCCAGACATAGCCTATAACACTTTCATTGTACAAAAAGAGAGCAAAGAACGTTTACACTATCAAATAACATTTTCACTTCAGTCCAGCGAATTCAAGCACTCTCAAACTCCCATAATAATCTCTAAAGCTGTTTACACTGTAAAATTAATATCTTACTTACATTCGTACATCTTCACTTTATTGTTTCTGATGAGATAATTAGCCAGAGATTGCAGTCAGGCAGCGCGCACAGTGACGAAACAGCGTGTTTCAGCGGTGACTCATCTGAACGCCTCTGATTGGTCTTTGTATTCATAAACTCAACATAATAGTATGGGATTGGTTATAATGTGCAGCGCTTTAAAAACGTGTGTGTCTCTGGCTCTGTGCCAGCCAGCGAACGCAGATTTGAATTTAGCTGCTGGAGATGTTTTTCTTTTTTTATATGCATAGTTTACAGGACAAACTGCGCATTTCACCCAAAATTGTTTGGTGTGATATGATTCCAAATTTAGGGGTGGGTCAAAGGGGGGGCCAAGCTTGTTGGCAGGGGGGCACTGGCCCCCCCCTAGAACCGCCCCTGCTTCTCATAGCTATGTGAAAATAAGTGTATAATTGGAGCAGTTCATTGTTGGAGCTGAGCTGAATGAGAGGGAGATGCAGAGAGAGAGAGAGATGCAGGGTGTGTGTAGAGCAGGGGGACGTGAGGAACAGGATTAATTCGCAATCAACCACCCCTTTAACTCTAAAAGATTTTGTTACACTTTACAATAAAATTAAATTTATTGACATTAGTCATTGAACTAAAAATGAACAATGTTTTTTTTTTTTTACAGAACTGGTAACATTTTACAATAAGGTCCTATTAGTTAACGTTATTTATCTAATGTATTGTGTTAACAAATTAATTTAACTAATGTTAATGAATCAAAACTTATTGTAAAGTGTTACCGAGAATTTAATAGTCTAGGTTTTATATTCCACATAGACACATTTTTTTTTTTTATTATTTCAAGTTAAATGATAAATTAACACATATTAATGTACTGTGAACAAACATATTATTAACAAATTGATAAAAATTCTCAAATTAACATTGTTGAAATAATTGTTTATGGTTACTGTACTTTATAATTCCTAATGCATTAACTCATGTTAATGAACCGAGTGTTATTGGATAGTTGTTTTCAAAAAAATATTGTGGTCTTTCAGTACCTGTGAATTGAATCTCTTCTGCAGCCTCTTTCATTTCCACATGAAAAAGTTGCAGTTCTATACTTTATCCTTCAGTAGTGTGAAGCACTTACTGTTGGGACACACGCTTCTCATTCAGACACATTCTTTAAAGATCCTTGAAGCTGAGCACAGGAGCATTTTCTTGTAGGTGTTGCGCAGCTCTGTGCTACGGAAAGCATAAATGGCCGGATCAATGACTGCGTGACTCACCAGTAGCACTACGTGCAGCTGGAAGAGCGAGCGGTAGCACTCACAGTAGGGGTTCTCTGGGCAAATCATCATAATCAGCAGATGAAGAGAGAAAGGAGCCCAGCAGGCCACAAACACCCCAATCAAGATGGTGAGTGTCAGCGCCCCCCTCAAGCCACTTTGTCTGTGGTGTGCCTGAGCGCCTGGCATAGACGCAATCCTGTTGGCGTGGTGGCGCGCTAACAGGAACATATGTACATAGAGCAAGAGAATGAGGAGCAGAGCTGTGAAGAAGAGCACAATGAAGAAGATTTTCACTGTGGCGGCCTCGGAGAACCCGATCATGAGCACTCCGCTGGTGCCACACAACACCCAGATAGTGGACAAAGTAACCACCACCCGACGCATGGTGATGAGCGTGTGATAGCGTAGCGCGTGGAATATGCTGATGTAGCGATCCACGGCTATGGTGAGGATGCTGAAGATGGAGCCCAGGAAGCACATGCAGAGTAGAGAGTCCATGATGTCATCTATACTCAGCTCAAAACGACCAAGAGAGTTCAGGTGTCCGGCCTCTTTAAACAGCAGCAGGATGTTCTCTAAGGCCTTGCAGAGGCTGGAGATGGTGTTAAACACGGCCAGGTTGCAGATGAAGCAGTACATAGGGGAGTGAAGATTCCTGTTTTTGATGACGGCCACGATCACCAAGAGGTTCTCACTTAGACTGGCCACGGCAATGGCCATGAACACCTGACTGGGGACCTGAAGCTCAGTGCAGTCTGTGGGGTGTGTGAATGGAGCTTCAGTGCTAGAGTTCATGATAGATGGAGCACACTTGGTTGTTGGATTGTAGATCAGCTGAAGATCTGATGTGAAATAACCTGGAAGAAAACATTTTATTATTATTAAGATACAATGGATATAATTTATTTTTACCCCTTCATTGCTGTGCACTTTTGTCTGCATCGTGAATGATTTGTAGATTGTACACACAAAAAATTCTCTGTATTTGCGTATTTTTACGTATTTCCCATTCATTTCCAGTGGCGGTCATTTTTGACCTCGAGCAACACAAATGTGACTACAGTTTTGTGTGTGTGTGTGTGTGTGTGTGTGTGTGTGTGTGTGTAATAGTGTGGTGTGTGGTGTGTGTGTCTGTTTTGTACTCTTGATATTTTAGTGTCACCCCTTCATTGCTGTACACTTTTTTTCTGCATCGTGAATGATTTGTAGATTGTACACACAAAAAATTCTCTGTATTTGCGTATTTTTACGTATTTCCCATTCATTTCCAGTGGCGGTCATTTTTGACCTCGAGCAACACAAATGTGACTACAGTCATGGCCAAAAGCTTTGGCAGTGACATCAATTTTGTGTTTTGCAAAGTTTGCTGCTTCATTTGCAGTTTGCTGCTTCAGTATTTGTAGATTATTTTTTCCACATGTTTCTATGGTATACTGAAAAACAATGATAAGCATATCATAAGTTTTAAAGGCTTTTATTGGCCACAAAATTTAATGAGTCATTGTTTACATTGTTGACCCTTGTTCTTCAGAACCTTTGCAATTCTCTCTGGCATGCTGGATATTAGCTTCTGGGCCAAATCCTGACTGATGGCGATCCATTCTTGCCGTATTAGTTCTCGGAGTTGATCACAATTTGTGGGCTGCTTGTCCACTCACCTTTTGAGGACTGACCACAGGTTCTCTATAGGATTGAGATCCGGGGACTTGCCTGGCCACAGATCCAAAATTTCAATGTAATGATCTTCGAGCCACTTCTTTAACACTTGCTTTGTGACATGGTGCTCCATCATGCTGGAAAATGCATGGATCATCACCAAATGGCTCATGGATCGTTGGAAGAAGTCGCTCTTGCAGGACGTTTTGATACCATTCTTTATTCATGGCAGAGTTTTTGGGCAGAATTATGAGAGAGTCCACTCCCTTGGTTGAAAAGCAACCCCACACATGGATGGCCTCAGAATGCTTCACTGTTGGCACAACACAGGACTCATGGTAGCGTTCAGCTTTTCTTCTCTGAACAATTGATTTTCCAGATGTCCCAAACAGTCGGAAGGGAGCTTCATCAGAGAAAATAACTTTGCACCAGTCTTCTGCTGTCCAATCCTTGTACTTCGTGAATGAACACCACAACAGCTTAAGCAGCAAACTTTGCAAAACACAAAACTGATGTCACTGCCAAAACTTTTGGCCATGACTGTATTTTTGTATGACCATTTAGCTTTTTCGAATCAAGTCCACTTTTGTGTGTGTGTGTGTGTGTGATCTCATAGCGACTGTTTAAATTTTCAGTAATTCTGTTGTGTATTTTTGTCAGTTTTTTTAATCTATACAGTTTTTATTAATTTAATTTAATTTTTATTTTGTATTTAGTACATCAAGTTAAACTAAATAAAAATGAGAGCAACCAGCTGAAATAAAATAAGTTTACGTTTTGATATTTTATTTTGCTTCAGTTAATATTTATTTTATTTCAAGTAGCCTAACAAAAATGTTTTTTATGGTTTAAGTTTAGTTAACTATAATAACCTTTTTTCTTTTTTTGATTGAAGTCTCTTATGTTCGCTAAGGCTGCAGTTATTTGATCAAAAATACAGTACTGCTATAAATCAGTAATAATTCTGAAATATTATTGCAATTTAAATAGCTGTTTTATATTTTAATATAAGATGGTGCCAATGTGTTTGGCTGTCTGTCTGTCTGTCTGGGGCTCTGTTTGTGTTTTGTTGTTAGCTTGTTTCACTTTTTAATTCAACACATTTCAGCATTATTTGGAATGTAATTTATTCCTGTGAATTTTCAGCTGCCATTAACCTTCTGGTGTTGTTCGGTCATTTTAGACCGGAAAAAAAAAATTTCTCGAAAATTTAAAATCACGACTTCTTCCTAATGGTACGAAACTCGATGACTTTAATACCTTAAAATTAAAACGGAATTATTTATTTAAAGACAATAATATATAATTTTAATAACAGCAGTATGGCCATTTTTTGGTTTATCAGCCATAACATGAAAATAACTATCATCTTGACTCTGTCGGACAGAATTTTATAATGGTGCATCCCTAATAAATACCACACTTCCTGAAATGTAAATAAAAACAACAACAAATCATACAGCTCATATAATATTACATACAGTGGGCCCGATTGGGTTTTTTGAGTGTAGGTCATCATGTTTCTATCGTGTCCTATTCAAGTGATGAAGTCATCAAG